ACAAGTTGGTCAGGGTATTATGTCCTTGTGCATTTGTTTGTAACATGGAGAAGGAAGCGAGACCCATAGTTACATTTGAGGATCTCCATAGAATCACTTTCTGAGTTGATTTATGCATGTCAGTCCGTCTGTCCGTCCGCCTGTCCATGTATTCTTGTGAACAAAATGCAGGTCGCATTTATTATCCGATTGAGATGAAATTTTCCAAACAACATTTGTTTGGCCCAAAGACGAACCCTATTGAAATTGGAGATAATCGGTAAAAATTAATTTTGCACCAAATGGGCAATACAAGTCCGAATTTAACAGATATAAATGCTTCGGCATATTTAGTCCTTGAATTTTAAATTATAATTATAATCATAGCGTGTATGATTGAATTCTCCCATAAAACTTTTAATTGTTATGTGGAGTTCTACTAAATTAGCAAAGTGGTGTAGGTTATCATAAAATCGGCCCCGCCCGACTTTAGGACTTTCTTTACTGGTTTTTATTAATTTTGAAGAAATATTCAGCTAAGACGCTCATAATTTAAAAAAAAATATTTATTTATTTTGTCTTTCTTCTTTTTTTTTTGATATAAAATACATTGATAAAATTCGAAGAGATAAATACATCCCCAAATAAATATAAATACATCTTCACTGGCTACAACATTCATCAAATAATAATATTAACTTTTCAAATTATCAATCAATCATTTGAATATGTGAAAAATTGTGAATATTATCTACTTGTAATTTATTAATAATCACAAGAAAAAAACTTGTTAATCTTTTCCATACAACCAAAAAATATATAATACAATTTAATTTAATTTTTTATTCAAAAACCAATTATTTATCAGTTGAATAACAACTATTTTAATACTCCAAGTAACACTAATATCCCATCGACTTAACTTGTCAAATTAAAAACAAAAAATGTCATTATATTAACAAACAAAAAACGAAAAAAAAACACTTATAAATAATATTTAATCATAAATAATATTTAAATCCCCACAAGTGTGTATGTATGGATGTTCCGACTTTTTTAATGACAACAAACTCCATTCATATTTTGTTTCTGTGCATTGATGCGTCAATGCGTAAAGTAAATACTTTGTAAATATATATGTGTATGTATTTATATGTATGTATCTCATTAAGAATATTTGGTTTTAATATTTGAATGTGTATCGATGGGTGACAAATGTGTAATTTGGGTCCATTGGAAGGGGGTTAACTTAAAAACTGCAGGAGCATACATTTACATATATCAATATCCCGGAAATTATTGGTTGTAATAAAAACGTTGAAAATGCGAATATGATCTTCACAATTTTTTCGTGATATACTTAACTCCTTAACTTACAAATTTAAACAAAAAAGTCAAGCTTATTCTTTTAGATGTAACAAGTAAGCAAAGGCTATAGTCTTGCGGGGCCGACCATGTGATACCCTACAACACTACAATATGTTAGAAGCCCGCTTATGTCCAAATCCATTTTGCAATATTCCATTTTTAAAATTATGATATTGAGTACTGCCCAGATATTACCCTTAGTATTTTGACCATGGACATTTGCCCAATATTTACGCATTCCGTCGTGCTGTTAGTTGTAGTGGTCCATTTTACAGCTAAATATAATCCAATGGTCATCCAAAATCTTAAAATTCCTCCGTGTCCTTTACTCTCTTCTCAGGCGTGTCGATTAGCTTCAATTGTGTGATCAGGAATTGTTTTCGGTTTTTGGTTCATTTTAACCCCTAAATATTTTGCGATCATCTCCAAAAGTAAGATGCCCCTCTTTACCTTCAAATTTAGACTCATCCATATGATTTGCTTGTCTACGATATTTGGCTATATTCGTCAAAGAAATCAGTATAAGAAAGCCTGAAGTTCGCCTTTTGTTTATTTCGGATATCGCCTGTAAGTAATGCTGATATTTTTTAAAAGTAGTGGTCCATTCAATCCACTGTCCTAAATTCTAACTTCATGCGAGATTCCGTGTCCTTTGGTTTCTATTTGTGACCTTTACAACGGCTGCAAAATCAGGAACTTTTTTAGTTGTTGGTCGATTTCAGCCCCTAAATATATTGCGGACATCTATGAAAACAATAGGCCTAACCCTTTTGAGCCCAACCCTACCCTTGTGAATATATCGCTATATACAACCGATATATTTACTATCGGCATCTACGTAACGATCAGAATTGACGTGTTCGTCTATTTGTGATTTCTCATGGATTAATGGAAAATTTGACTTTTGTTTAACAGAAATGTTATGGTTTATTTCACTCACTAAATATTACCCGATGACCATCAAAATTGGAAGGCTTCTGCCCATCCCTAAGCTCTAGCCCCATGCTAATTTTCACGTCGATTGGTCTATAACTGGGACCTGTAGAGCAACTCCATAATCATGTTTTTTTCAGTTATTGGTCCATTTCAACCTAAATATTATGCGATCATCTCCTATTCTGACCCTATCATTCATTTAAAATTTCGTGAAGATCGGGCCATAATTGCGACCTGTAGAGTGATTACAAATTAACATGGACAGACGGACAGACGGACGGACATAGCTAGATCGACTCAGCTCGGCGAGATAGGAAGATCCATATATACTTTCCTATGTGGGAAACCAATATTTCGAGGTGTTATATAATTTTTCAATCAAACTTATAATACTCCCAACACATAGTGTTGTAGGGTATAAAAATGTACCCTTACATGCTGACCATAATATAGACCGATATGGAGGGCATATTAAGTTTGTTATTTCGTTGGTAGCTCCACGATATATACATTTTAGACCCCACAAAGCACATGTGTTCTAGACCAACATAAAATTTTATCTCGATTTATCCATGTCCGTTCTTCTGTAAAAATCACTCTAGCTTCCCAAAGAAATGAAGTAGGTCGATTATATTTTGCTCAGATGTATTTTATGTCTGCAGGACATTTGGTGTTGAAAATTAATGCCAAGTAAGTTTACGTTTTGTTATAGGCCCCACATAACAACACCGTCACACTTAAAAGGTTATTCTTATTTTAGTCTTCATTTTAAATCGAATTTGCAATGAAATGGCATTTTGTGTTTCCAGCTTGTAAGCAACATCCTTACATAGAACATTTTATACAGGGTGCGATAAAAAAACTGCAACAAAGTCAAACGCCATAATTTTTACTTTTTTTTAAATTTTATTGATTGAAAGCAAAAAATGTCAGAAATCCCATCAAATTCAAGAGCAAGTTTAGATTTGTTCGAAATGGTCACCTTTGATACGAATACAAACGACCAATGAAACCGTCACACGCTTCCCAAATGTTGCTCTGCGGTATTTTGGACCATTCCCGGCGAAGCGCTTGCTTGAGGTAATCGACACTTTGGTATTTTTTAGTACCAAACTTGATTTCCAAAATACTCCAGTCAAAATAGTCCAACGGATAGATATCCGGAGATTTTGGCGGCCATTGCGCGCTGGAAATGATGTGTGCGATGGTGGCTGAGTCCTGTTAGAATGTCCAAGGTCTGAGGCCAAAATGTTTGCGTGCCCAAGGCTTTAATACACCCTCCAAAATATTTTCGCGATAATATTCGGCATTTATTCTGATGCCACGGTCGATTAATACGAGCGGACAGCAACCATCGCCATGGCCGGCGTGGGAGTTCTGGTGGCCAGCTAAAGGTGCACATTTACAGCTGACCTCTTTGGCAAGTCGATCACAACGAGCGGAGAGTGACCATCGGCTGTTATGGCGGCCCACACCATCACCATGGCCGGCGCTTGAGTTCTGGTGGCCAACCGAAGGTGCACATTTTCAGCTGACCTCTTTGGCAAGTAACGACGATTATTTTGTTTGTTTACAAACTGCTGGACAACGAATGTTTCCTCATCGGAGAATACCAAATTCGGTAGTTCACTACTTTCGGCCAAGCGAAGCAACTGTTTGTCTCTTTTGAGTCTATTTTCTTTCTGTTGCGGTGGAAGTTCTTGCACTTTTTAGAATTTCAATGGCTTTACCCCGAGCTCATTTTTAAATATTTACCAAATGGAATATTGCGATATGCTCGGCTCACGATCAAGTCCCTTCTTTACTTCTAGAACCATTTCTGCTGATGTTGTTGTTTTCTTCCGTCCACTTCCTTGACGTCGGGCTATGCTACAAGTATCACGGTAACGAGCGATGATACGAGACACAAAAGATTTATTCACATTTAAATGCTGGAGAGCTCGTACGATAGCCACTTGTGGTTTTCCAGTCAAATAAAAAGAAATCACACTATCACGCTTGAATGCCATCACGAATAAATTTTTTTTTGGAAAATTCCTACCAAAATGTCTTTGAACGCTTATAAACAATATAATGAGCTGTCACTGGAATAATTTTAATAGCTGTCGGACGAGTGGCTTAGAAATGACAGCAGTCTGAAGGTGGTTGCAGTTTTTTCATCTTATTTGATCAAAAAAAATCCTCTTGTTGTTATCAATAATATTTGCGAAGACACTTTATACCTAAAATGAACAGATTCCAAGGACTCTTTTTTCGGTTACTTTGCGATGTTAACTTTTAAAAGGACGATAAATGTGTCTTCTATTATAAGCTCTAGTTTCATAATCTGCTGGATTTTTAATCATTTATACACAGTGTTATCCTTACCTTTGCCATGGGGTTATTGCTGTAGATATCCCTCCTCAAAGGCGACAAACTTCTTACAAAGTCCTTTCTTATAAGTCTGCAAACATTACCACAAAATTTTGGCATTACTTCGCGGGATTTATTCAATTTTTGCATTTTGAGTTGAGTTGTCTTGCAATACTTTTCCATATTCCATTCAATACTTTCAACTTATTAGTGGCTAGGGTTTTTTGGTTTAAACCTGTTACGCCGCTCACATGTTTTCATTTCACATTAATGACTAGCTATTGTCCTAATTGTTTAACAATATTACATCAATTCCGTCGAATCAATTAACTAAATTGTGTTATTATTTTTGTTTTAATTTCCAGTTAGACGTTCCATAAATCGCCGCCATGGGTGATATGTTTCGCAGCGAAGATATGGCTTTGTGCCAGCTCTTCATACAGCCTGAAGCAGCCTATGCCTCAGTGGCTGAGTTGGGTGAATTGGGTTGTGTACAATTCCGTGATGTGAGTACAGTTGCCTTCCCCCACCCCTCCCTTTAGTTTCCCCATCAAATCTTCTTGGAAATGTTAAGATAATTAATTAAATGATATCATTATCTTCGATTTCAGCTTAACGGAGAGGTAAGCGCCTTTCAGCGTAAATTTGTCACCGAAGTGAGACGCTGTGATGAGCTTGAACGTCGTATTCGTTATGTCGAAAACGAGATGCGCAAGGATGGCATCGAGATGCCCAAACTCGATGAAGACAACGAACCGGCTGCACCAAATCCAAGGGAAATCATAGATTTGGAGGCCCACTTGGAATCGATTGAGACGGAGTTGAAGGAGTTGAGTCAGAACGGTGTCAATTTGAATATGAATTACAATGACATGAGCGAATTGAAGGCGGTATTGGAAAATACCGAATGTTTCTTTGACGATAAGGAAATTATGAATTTGGATACGAATCGTTATATCGATCCAAATGATATGGCCGCCCAACAGCAGAGGGGCCAGCTGGGCTTTATTGCCGGTGTTATAAAGTTGGAGAAATTCTTTGCTTTCGAACGTATGTTATGGCGTATTTCACGCGGTAATATCTTTTTGAAACGCAGCGATTTGAGCGGCATGCTTACGGATCCCGAAACGGGACATCCAGTTTTGAAGACAGTGTTCGTGGCCTTTTTCCAAGGTGAACAATTGAAGCAGAGAATTCAAAAGATTTGCCAAGCCTTCCATGCTGCCGTCTATCCCTGTCCCAGTGCCCATCAGGAGCGTGTGGATATGTTGAAAGATGTCTCTACGCGATTGGAAGATTTGAAAATGGTATTGAACAGTACTGCCGATCATCGCAATCGTGTCTTGGTTAGTGCCTCTCGCAACATGCCCATTTGGACGATAAGCATTAAGAAAATGAAGGCCATCTATCACACCCTGAACATGTTCAATATGGATGTTTCGAACAAGTGTTTGATTGGTGAAGGTTGGGTTCCCCTCAACGATTTCCAGACGGTGAGCAATGCTTTGGCCCGTGGCTCGAAAATGGTGGAGAGTACAATTCCATCATTTGTAAATGTCATCGAGACGAATGAACAACCGCCGACTTTCACACGCACCAACAAGTTTACCAATGGTTTCCAAAATCTAATCGATTCCTATGGTGTGGCATCGTATCGTGAGGCCAATCCTGCCCTCTACACATGCATCTCCTTCCCTTTCTTGTTCGCTGTGATGTTTGGCGATTTGGGCCATGGCATGATTCTCTTCCTGTTCGCCCTGTACCTGGTGCTCAAGGAGAACACTTTGCGCAAAATCAAAGGTGAAATTTTCCAACTTTTCTTTGGTGGCCGTTACATTATCCTGTTGATGGGTCTGTTTTCCATGTACACCGGCTTCATATACAACGATGTCTTTTCCAAGTCCATGAACATCTTTGGTTCCACTTGGATGGTGCGTTACAATACCACCACCGTGACGGAAAATCCCTACATGCAAATGAATCCCAAGTACCATGTCCAAGGTGTATATCCTATGGGTCTGGATCCCATATGGCAGCTGGCCGATAACAAAATTATTTTCCTTAACACCTATAAAATGAAGTTGTCCATTATCTTTGGTGTCCTGCACATGGTGTTCGGTGTCTGCATGTCGCTGGTCAACTATACCCACTTCAGGAAGCGCATCAACATTATCATGGACTTCATACCTCAGGTCGTGTTTTTGGTCCTACTGTTCGGTTATATGGTTTTCATGATGTTCTTCAAGTTTGTAAAATACAATGGCAAGGCCGATGAGCTAGAATTGACACCCGGCTGTGCTCCATCGATTTTGATTTTGTTCATCAACATGATGTTGTTCAAACACCAAGAGCCCTTGCCAGGCTGCGAGGAATATCTTTTCGAAGGTCAAGATATGTTGCAAACTGTGTTCGTGATCATTGCTGTTATCTGCATTCCATGGATGTTGTTGGGCAAGCCATTCTACATCATGTGTCAACGTAAAAAGCAACCTGTTGCCCATCATGCCAACGGAGACATTGAGAATAATGGACAAGCTGCCGCAAAGCCGGCTGCATCTGCCGGTGGTCACGGTGGCCATGGCCACGATGATGAGCCAATGGGTGAAGTTTTCATTCAACAGGCAATTCACACCATTGAATATGTTTTGAGTACCATTTCCCATACGGCTTCGTATCTGCGTTTGTGGGCTTTGTCATTGGCTCATGCCCGTAAGTTGTTGTGGGCACTTAACTGAACTTAACAGAAGTTAATTAATGCAATTATTTATTACAGAATTATCTGAGGTCTTGTGGAGCATGGTCATGCAAAGGGGTTTAATCATACCCAGCTATGCTGGTTCCGTAATGCTATTTTTCATTTTTGGCGCCTGGGCTGGTTTGACATTTGGTATTTTGGTTTTGATTGAAGGTCTATCGGCTTTCTTGCACACATTGCGTTTGCATTGGTAAGATGGAATCACCTTAATTCTTTATGTCATGGAATAATTTATTTATTTGTTGTTTTTTCCTCATACAGGGTCGAATTCATGAGCAAATTCTACGAAGGTTTGGGCTATGCCTTCCAACCATTCTCATTCAAGACCATTTTGAATGAAAGTGAGGAATAATTTTTAAAAAACAAATATTGAGTGAGATCCAGCAATAATTATGCTTTTATTTTTCAAATGTAAAATTATTCGATAATAAAATACGATCATGCATAATATACTGATGGTTTTACAGTTTACAGATGTAAGGTTTAAGAAGTACGATCACTAGATGGCGCCGTGGTAGTTGATTAAATATGTATGATAGTTGTCATTTAGATGATCGATAGAACGAACGAATCTCCACTCAAATCATTTATGTATATAAACTAGTAAAAACAGGTCAAAAGTCGGGCAAGGCCACCATGCGTATTTAGCAGAGCTCCCCTGACAAAAAAGTTTATATTGTGAATTTATGTGAAGTAGATCATACCAACTATGAACCAAATAACATTCCTGCATGATATGACTTTGATAGGTTTATATTAAAAACAAGTAACCAAAGGCTATGGTCATGCGGGGCCGACCATGTGATATCCTATAACACTACAATATGTTCAAAGACCCCTTATTTCCAAATCCATTTTGGAAGATTTCATTCTTGATATTATGTCATAAAGCCCTGCCCTTAGCTTTTTGACCGGGGGCATTTCCGGAATATTTACGAACTCCGTCGTGTTGTTAGGTGTTCAAAATAATTTTACACGAAATTTTTGGTCCATTTATAACCCAATTGTCATCCAAAATTCTAGATTTCTTCCCTGTTCTTAACTCTCTTCTAATTCAATATTTCGTATCGATTGCTTTTTAATTGTGACCTGTAGAGTGACTAAAAAATCAGGAAAATTTGAATTTTTGGTCCACTTTAAACCCTAAATGTACATCTTCAAACATTATAGGCTTTAATTCTGACCCTATCCCCATTCAAAATATCGTGAGCATCGCACGATAATTGCGACCTGTATATAATACCCTCAACACATAGTGTTGCAGTGTTTAGAAAATATTTAGAAAATGTGCAATTCAAAATTCTACGTCAAATTGAAAAAAAATCGCATGCGATAAAAAATTGAAGAAATTTAACAAAAAATATTCACTTTTTTCTTGTCATATTTTTACACGATTTTCTTAGATATTATTCTTTTCTGGCAATAAATCATTCCGAATTGAAGAGAATTGTGAAGATCTGTGCAAGGTTCTTATAAGGAGAATAAGTAAGATCTATTTCTGTTTCAAATGTATTGTTTTTATACCCTCCACCATACATAGTATGGAGGGTATATTAAGTTCGTCATTCCGTTTGTAACTCATCGAAATAATCATTTTACACCCAACTATATTCTTGATCAGCGTAAAATTCTAAGACGTTTTAGCCCTGTCCGTCCGTCCGTCCGTCTGTTATAATCACGCTACAGTCTAAACGAATTAAGATAGGAAGCTAAAATTTTGCACAGATCTCTCTTTTTTCTGCAGGCAGGTCAAGTTCGAAGATGGGCTATATCGGTCCACGATATCGTATATCCCCCATATAAAGGTACCCTCCGATATTCGGTATTTTGAAGATGTTAGCCACATTTTTCAATGGAATTGTCTGAAAATTCACACAAGTAGTTCCTTGTAAATACATTACCCCCTGAGAGAGAATTGTCTATATAGGTCTACGATATCGTATATCCCCCATATAACGGTACCCCCGATATTCGGTATTTTGATAACTTTACCCTCATTTTTCAACGGAATTATCTGAATATCCATACAAGGAGTTCCTTGTGGGTACTTTATACCTCGGAAGAAAATTATCTATATCGGTCCACGATATCGTATATCCCCCATATAACGGTACCCGATATTCAGTAGTTTGATGATTTTTGCCACTTTTTCCAATGGAATTATCTGAAAATCTCCACAAGGAGTTCCTTGTGAGTACTTTACACCCAGACATAGATTTGTCTTAATAGACCCACAATATCATATATATTGGCACCTTCCCATATTAGGAATTGTAAAGATTTAAAAAAAAATATGGATTTTATTTTTTTTGAAAATTTTCTAATTCGTTCCAAATGGAGGAGGGTATTCAAAGTTCGGCCCGGCCGAACTTACTGCTTTTTTACTTGTTTTGTTTGTATTTTGCTACACATCCGATATCTTCGCTATTCACATCACTGTAATGGTCAAAAGTGACCTGTTAAAGTATTAGTAATTTGGCCGGGATTAAAAATATTCGCGGTTTAATTGGTTAGCTTCTGCTCAGCCCTGAACTTTAACTCCATGCAAATTTCTGCGTCGGTTGGTTCATAATTGTAGCCTATAGAGCAACTGCAAAAACAGAAAAGTGTTATGTTTTTGGTCCACTTCAACCAACCAAATATTGTGCGATCATCTCCAAAAAAAAAAGAATTCTATTCTGACCCTAACGCCACCTTCATTTTCAATTTCGTGAGGATCGGGCCACAATTGCGATCTGTAGCGTGATTACAAATTAACATGGACAGACGAACGGACATAAATAGCTAGATCGACTCAGCTTGGTGAGATAGGAAGATATAGTCGAAAACCATTATTTCGAGGTGTTACATAGTTTTTGGCCAAATCAAACTAATATTCATTGGAGCAATAGATATACCGGACCGAGTTTCACCAAATGGAAAAATTCGGTTGAATATGAAAAAAATCTATCCAATTTTGGCTGATATTGCATATATGGTGGACAATAACCGTAAAATCAGATGAGGATCGAAGGTATATAAAAATCTGAACTGATATCCATAAAATTTGGCAGAGGTATCTTCGAGCATGGCTATATCTAAACCGATTTTCACCAAAATTTAAAGTACTTGCTTCTGGTCTGAGTTCGGCCGGAAGTGCCAAAATTCCGACCATTTGGGCTGATATTAGCCATTAAGTGTACAATAAACCCGAAATCAAATAAAGATATATGTCGGAGCTATATCGAAATCTAAACTGATATTGACAACATTTTAGGCACTTATTTTTGAACTGTATCTGATATCTGGTATCGTAGATCATTGTTGTGGAGGGAATATTACGCATGCGAGGGACTTAAAACCCGAAATATATTTCTGGGAGGTAAAGCTATATCTGAACCGATTTTCTCCAAATTTGATGCACTTGTTTCTAGACTGAATTCGGACGGATGTCGGAATTCAAGTCATTGGGACTGATATTGGCCATTTGGTGCACAATTAACCAGAAACCGGTTAAAGAAATATGGGAGCTATATGCTAAATTAGATCCGATTTTAACCAATTTCAATAGGGTTCGTCCTTGGGCCAAACAAATATTGTTTGTAAAATTTCATCTCAATCGGATAACAAATTCGACCTGCATTTTGTTCGCAAGAGTACATGGGCGGACGGATGGACTGGCGGACTGACATACATAAATCGAACCAGAAAGTGATTCTATGAAAGTAACTATAGGTCTAATTCGCTTTCTTCTCCGTGTTACAAACAAATGCACAAAGACATCATACCCTTACCACTATGTGGAGGAGGATATCAAAAATACGAACAGACGTGATAACAGCCTTACTACCTGATTCCATGCAGAGCATCAAAATGAACTATGTATCTATATTATTTTCTATTGCTAATTACAGAAAAATTAATCTAACACCATGTGCCATAATGTGGTGTAGGGTATAAAAGTCATATTTCTTGGTGCCATTTCAGACTATTCCTAAATTCTATCGTTTGATGACATGTTGCTTAAGCAAATTTCAACGCCTTTCTTGGACATGCTTCACCTAAGAAATTCTATCTGCAAAAGATTTGTGTTTAATGTTTTGAGGCTCCAAATGTTTGAGCATCCCAACTAAAGTCCTTTATGGATTGTAATACATAAAGGTATTTGTTCAGTTGTATTTTTCTAACTCACCCCCCCCCCCCCCCCCCCCTCATACCACAATGTGGTTTTTCTCGAAAACATTGAATTGTCCTTGAGACATGTTTCATTGTACAAATTTTGTTTTTAGTATTGTTTTTCTTTTTCTTATTCAAAGGACCAACACTTAATTTCGTCACATATTTTATCGTCCACATATTTTTTCCTATCTGGCATTGCATTACAAATGGTTGGTCAAATATCGACTCTGATTTCGACATCCATCCACACCGAACAATGGACATTTGTTAGGATTGAAGTAAGTTCGAATACAAAGGATTATTGCGTATATTTGTAGTTGGTTCTCTTTAATTTTTTTCATTCATTTTATTTCGATTTTGTTTCGATTGTTGTTTGACTTTTGTGTGTGTTTGTGTGTTGCAGGATTCTAAAGGCCTTCGTTGATAATTTGATTTTCTTGGAAGGATAGTGACTTAGTTACCATGCTTTAGACTTATTCCTATTTTTCTTCTTGTGTTTTTCCCTGGAAAAACCTGTAATATTTTCTCAGTTCATTTCAGGTGAATTTTTCGTAACCTTGGAGATAAACAACTTATGTCAAGAAATATATTTGTACTTGATAAAATTGTCATCGTATACCCACAATTAAATGGAGACTTTTAGCAATGAGATTTTTCAGTTTTACTTGTTTCCTTCTGATGACATTATTGCTTTACTTGGGAAAAAAATTAAAAGAAACCCAACGTAAATGGACAAATCAAATATTTCATTGTGTCTGGGAAATTCTATTCGCATTTAATAGAAACGTTGTTTTTTTGGTCAAGAATTTGTGAAACTAAATCAATCAATTTCATTGTTCGCCGAAAAAGAAAGAATTTTGGAAGCTGATATCTTTAATGGAAAAATGAGAAAAATACTACTTAAATGGCTAAAATGTGAGAATTTTAAAGGTTAAAGGTGCAATACATACCCAATATGACTAACATCTCAAAATTCTGAAGGTTAAAGGTGTCTGATGAAATTGTTATGTGGAAGGACTTGGAACTTTATTAAAGGTTATATCTGCCTACAGATTTTCCCCCACAATGACGTAGTACCGAAATTCCAAGTATAGCAAATGCCCCATGAAATATCTCGTACAACAATCCACTTTTAACCAGTAAGGAGAGGTCAAAATTCGGGCGGGGCCGACTACATGATACCCTACATCACTATGCGAATTTAGTAGAGCTTCCGTAACAAAAAAGTTTATATTGGGAATTTATGTGAAGGAGATCATACCAACTATGAACCAAATAACATTGCTGTATAG